CCTTTTGCTAAAAAAAATTGCCGTGGCAGAATGTAGGAAGATGCCGTAAAGGAAGGGGGCTTCCAACTGTGGCCGTTTTTAAGACCGGTGGACTTCAAATCCCAGCATTGCTGGCTGGGGAATTCTGGGAGTTGAAGTCCGGCGGTCTTGAAGTGGCCGAGGTTTAGAGCCCCTTGCTCTAAAGAAAAGCTTGTGTGGTTTTTCCACTGGAAAACAGCTGGGCTTTGACAACGCCAGGAGGGAGAACTGAACACCATCAAGCTCTTGAAAGAAACCCCTCCCCCTAAAAAAAATCTTTCAAATCCACGACGGGAAAGTGAGTAACAAAACGAGGACTGGAAAAACATCTGTGCTCCATATAAACCTGAGAACCGCATACAGCACAGGTGGAGCTGGCTCCGTGATGGTCTAAGCAGCATCCTACGCACCATCAGACTGACTCCACCCTGGAGGTGGCCGCCAGTCAGCCTTTACATCATCTCTCAGCCGAGGTGGCGCAGTGGTTAAATGCAGCACTGCAGGCCACTTCATCTGACTGTTATCTGCAGTTCAGCGGTTCTAATCTCACCGGCTCAAGGTTGACTCAGCCTTCCATCCTTCCGAGGTGGGTAAAATGAGGACCCGGATTGTTGTTGGGGGCGATATGCTGACTCTGTAAACTGCTTAGAGAGGGCTAAAAGCCCTATGAAGCGGTATATAAGTCTAACTGCTATTGCTATTCTCTGAGTGTGTGGGGGGTGGAATCTTGAAATCTCAGCCCCCACATCCTTCCATATTGGGAAAGCCCTGAGGTCATCACCACTAGGCTCTGCTTTAATTGAGCCTTTCTTTGCCCACTGGGAGGCGTCCCTGTCCTTGAAGGGGGTTGTAGTGGAGGAAGGTTTCCAGCCAGCTGTGCCCCCCCCCCCCAGGAGGTTGTAAACTGCCTTCTTCCCACTTCTCCCTCTGCACATTCGTTCCCTGCTGCTTTCACGCCCGTCCTGGGGATTTCCTCGGGAGTTGTGCCGGCTCACAAATGGTTTCTTGGAAACAGTCTCCCAGGGAAAGTCCCCTGATTTCTTCCCAGGCTCTGCAGATCTCCTGGAAGTCGGGCGATTTTTCCATGGGGTTGTTGCAAGGCAGCTGGAGACACTGGGCGGAAATGGGGGGGGGTTCTGCCAGGTGTGAGGAGGGGGTGGCCTTTCTCCAGCACAGGAACTGCTCCTAAGGCCTCTCTGGGGCCGCCAAGAAACCTCTCAGACTGGCCCATTTTCCAGGCTCCTCCGTCCCCAAGACAGGCTCCCTCCTCATGGGCTGCAGTGGCACCAGATGTGCCAGCAAATGTGATGCCCACTTAGGTCCCCCTGAGTGGGGGCGTCTGCCCCTCCCCTCCCCTGGGCCTTTTCCTGCCCTCCCCCCTCTGGGCCCTCCATGGGGCGCTTGCCTTGGCCGAGGCTCCCCCTCCCATTTTGCAGGGCGGCCTCCAGCTGTTGCCCAACCGCTGCTGGGACCATTGGCTGGGACTGGCAGAGCAGCGGAGGGGGTGGGGGGGATGCGGTTGTCCTGCGGGCGATTCGCCTCCTCTGGAATCGGGGTCAGCGGGGGGACGCCGCATCGTCGCAGCCGGAGCAGTGCGGGCGCCGCCGGGGGCGTCCAGGCGGGGCTGAGCCGGGCTGGGGAGGCGGGCGCTGCGTTGCGCGGAGGCCGGGCATCCCGGCTGCGGCTGCTCCTCCCTCCCTCCGTCCTCCTCCTCCCATCCTTCCTTCCTCCCTCCCCGGCCCTGCCCGCCCGCGCCTTCCTCTTCCTCCTGCGCTGCGGGCCCGATGGCGGCGGGGCTGAGCTCGCTCGAGGCGGTGCGCAGGAAGATCCGCAGCCTGCAGGAACAGGCGGACTCCGCCGAGGAGCAGGCGGGGCGGCTGCAGCGGGAGCTGGACGAGGAGCGGGCGCTGCGCGAGCAGGTGAGACGGGCGGGAGGGACAAAGGCGCCCCCTCCCCTCCCCTCCCTCGGGCCGCAGCCCTCCGGCCACCTGGGCGCCTCCGCCCACTCTGCGCGGCGGGCGACCCCCGGGGGATGCCGTCGGGAGGCATCGGCTTCCCGCCC